AATGAAATTATTTTAGGAAGAAAAATAAAGTTCCAACTCCAATGTAGTCGGAGGTAGGCTCTCTAGGGGGTTCCAATTGCTATCGATAGATGCTTGACCCAGCTTTGAAGCACGGAGGCCTGCACGTTGCTCTGTCTGTATCTGTCTAATCGCACTGTCTTCTGGGCTGTATTCCCAGGGTGAACAAATATTCTAGCTTTCCAATAAGTATGATCTATTTATGTATAAATGAGTAATTATCCTTGAAAGAGAGAAAATAGGACAGATTGTTTTGTCTTCACTGCTGAGATTTTTTCCTCTGCTTAGCTTTTGTCTTTGTAGTTTCGGATATGAATGACTACAACTTTATCTCACCCCCTCATATGAATTTTTAATAGCCAAATTGTACACATTTTTCATATTAATTTAATTGGTTAAATTGCAATTATGCTTAACCTTGAAACTTTCTTTAGAGATAGCTATGATGTAGAAAGAAACAAAAATCTGACTTGGGAACCAAATGAATTTTTATTTGAATATCAGCTCAGGGACATATTTTCTCTCCGTGGGACTTTAGGGCATAATTGTTTCATATTCAGCAGAGCCTCTGATAATACGAGCCCTGCTGCCATCACTTTTCCCTCCTCTGTTTTTCACAGTTTCAGTGGGAATATGGCTTAGGGAGGCAGTCAATTACAATAGTGAGGACGGAGGTTCTAAGAATTAGGCCTTGCCTGATTCTTGTTTCTAAGTCTTGTTTCTGAGTATTATTTCTGCCAGAGTCTTGTTATGAAAGTTTGGAGTGTAGTTCTAAGAGCTAAACTTGGCTTGACTCTTGTTTTCTGAGTCTTGTTTCTCAAGGTGATATAATATTTTGAGAGAATTACTTTAACCTTGCCAAGTTTCTAAACCCTATGGTCTTTTTGAGAATGCATGTAAAATAAAATAACATGGTTGTGTGATATAGAGCAGTGTTTTTCAACCTTTTTTGGGCAAAGGCACACTTGTTTCATGAAAAAAATCACGAGGCACACCACCGTTAGAAAATGTTAAAAAATTTAACTCTGTGCCTATATTGACTATATATAAAGTAATTCTCTTGAATAGGAATCAAATAAACACAAAGAAAGTATTTTATAATTACTTTATTATGAAATATTAAGTAAACAAAATAGTGAAAAATTATAAAATTCTTGTCTTGTTTGCACCTACGGCACACCAGGCAACATCTCGCGGCACACTAGTGTGCCGCGGAACAGCGGTTGAAAAATGCTGATATAGAGGAAGCATGCAAAGTAACTTAATGGTAATATAAAAATGATGACAAAGTAATTAACCTATATGTTTCCTCTTCTTTTCTCTTCTTTTTTTTTCATTGAGAAAAGAGTCAGGCAAGGGATTTTAGAGTCAATATAAGAGTGGAAGATTTACAAAGAACAGCTTTATCAATCTCTATCATTTAGAACTGATAGTAAGAGAGGCCCTTTAAGCCTGATCCTGAAAAATGCTCTGCCCTTTGGAAAATCTTCTGAACAGCAACCGAATAGAGGAAATCTATTTCTTTTATCAGTTTGTTCCTGGTTAACATTACTAACTTCCTAACTAATCTATTATTGTCCCAATACCAGACATTCATGTATTTCTCTCTGTGTCTGTGAATTTATATTTATCAATTCTCCACAATCTATATCTTTCCTTACTTTGCAGTACATGTTTATGATGTGAATATTTCTTGCTTATAAGAAATTATACATATTATTGCATTCAAGTACTTATTAATATTTATTATATTTTATAACTTCAAAAATTATTTGTATTATTTTGTTTTATTAAATGTAGAGCACTGAGCAAATATCTAGAGGGCAGGATGTGAACTCTGCATAGATTGTTTGGATTCAAATTCAGATGCCCCTATATGACATGATCTTAGGCCAGCTACTTAAGTGTTTTCTGCCTTGGTTTCCGACTAGATATAAATTCAGTGGATTTCCAACTGGACAATGGTTATGAGAAGTAAAGGACATGGTTTAAGGAGAATACCTCACACATAGTAAATAATAAACAGATGTTAATTAATAATATTACTAATATAAATTTTAAAGCATACACATTATTGTGAAAATAATAAAACATTTTAGAAACCACTAATTTCTTACAACTTTTCATGCTAAGTGAAATAAGCCAGTTAGAGAAAGATAAATATCACATGCTCTCACTCCTTTGTGGAATACAATGAATAGGATAAACTGATGAACACAAATAGATACAGAAACAAAGAAGCATCGAACAGACTGTCAAACCTCAGAGGGAAGGCAAGGGGATGGATTTGGGGTGGAATTTAGAGGATTTGTATGCATGCATATAAGCATAACTAATGGACATAGACGCAAGGGGGGTGAGGGCATGTGAAGGTGGGGTAGGTTGGCCTGAGGAAGGTCAATGGAGGAAAAAGGAGACATATGTAATACTATACGCAGTACTTTAAACCACAAAATAAAACTTAAAAGAAAGGTGGAAGGATTTGCATATTTCTAGTTTTACAAAGAAGAAAGTAAAGGTAAGTCTGACAGGATATCAAATTTAAATGGAAAGTAAACCTATATTGTCACATAAAACTGGTCTAAAAGTAGGATGAAAAAAAAAAAGCACCCTAAACTGATGAAAGTACATAAAGAACGGTTTCAAAAGATATAGTTCTTAGGAAATAGTTCTTGCTTTATCATACATCAACATATTTTTAGACTGGTAATTTGATAAGTAATTTGATCAATAACTTTTTCACTATTTAAAAATAATTTAGGTCTTTTCTTATACAATAGTTGGAAAAAGTAGGTTTACATTGTGTATATGTGAAACAGTTTATTCTTGCATTATTTTTTTTTCATATAAATAACTATTAACATATGTTTGTCCCCCTGTAGATTAGTCAATATTTTATTTCTTATATAATTAGACTTAAAATCACAAATCTCAAATAGATTATCAACTAGTGTGTCCTCTGATCTAGACAATGAAACTATAACCCCAAAATGATTTTTAAACTCTGAATTAGGCAATTTTCCCCCCTATTGTTATAAATTTAGATTAGGCAATAAGTCAGTAACTCATGTCAGGATAATAGGAATATTATTTCAACTGTGTGACTTTGGTTAGTTAACTTCTCTCAACCTTGGTTTTGTCACTTGTAAAATGGAGCAGCAGTGGTATTTTTATTAAGTCACTATTGTGAGAATTAAATAAATTAAATATCCATGTCAAGTATTATAAAGATGTATGTAATGGTTAATGATGGAAATATAGTTGTGTACTATCTATTTTTACACTCAAGTGATTATCACTTCTGATTTTCAATCTAATTGATTATTTTTCAAAACATGATTTTTAATGGTTATATAAAATATCATTGTGATATTAGTTTTATTTTGAACATGCAGCATGTTTCCATTTTTATCTGTTGTTAAAAATAAATATTATAGGTAGCTTTTGTTCTTATCTTTGATTTTCTTAGGGTAATTAATGAGTTAAAGAACATGGATTTTTTAAATGCTACCTTGTGGTGCATATTGCAAAATGCCCTTTTTCTTTCATTTAGTTGTGTCTGACAGAGTTCTTTTTTCTATACTTTTTAATAGTGATGTTTTAAAATTAATTTTATTTTGCTTCAAGTGCGTCTTTTATATCTTAGTGACTATTTTTATGGCCACCTGTGTGGCATATGAAATATATCCTCTGATTGTTAACTCAGGCCAAAGACAAATATCAGTCTAAACCTCAGGCTCAATCCCATCAATCCCACTAGTCCAGTTGTCACTATATAGCCCTCAGAATATGTGAAAACAGTCAGCTGATACCTACAAAATAAAGGTTATGAATTGGAGCTCTATTCTCCAGAGATTTATGAACTACAAAATAGTATTATTATCATGGTCTGTCGTTGCATTGTGCTCTTTAGCTGCCTTCCATTTTATGTGGTAGAGCTCCTTAGGATCCATTTGCATGAAAGGTACCCTGTGTACTCATTTTTGTATTGTATTGTGGAGAGCGCTATAAACTGCAGGGTTCCTATTCATTTTGGAATTCATTTCACAGCTCACTAATTGTGTGAATGAGAAGAGGAAATATGTGCTGTTATTCCCAGGCATGCCAAGCAGATGGCCCAAAGTTCATTGCTACCAGCACTGTCAGTATGGCCCTCTGCTGTAGGTAGTGAACCTGGCTTAGATCCATTAAACACAATGTGAGGGTCCACTTCACACAGCATTGACAGTCGATGATACTCTAGTTTGTTATGACTTATAAACACCTTATTTTTTTTTTTTTATCATCAACTTCTAAAGTGGTCAGTCATTGGAGCAGGTGCAAACATGGTAGAATTCATGTTCCTTTTACTTGAGAAGCCAAAATGAACTTCCATTCATATGGAAATTTTGGGAAAAGAAAACAGTGGAGGGGATTAAGCTTAGTTTCTTGAAAAGGGATTAATACATGGATTGAAATTCAAAACTGTAGCATCATTTCTGAGATTGAACCTTTGAAAAGTTGATTAAAGAAGAGATCAGGGTTTATATTTTTATATTTTTAGGCGAATCTCCTACCATATTTTGTTTGTCCTACACAAGAAAATTGTTTACTTATTAATTTTTATGTAAAACATGTAATCTGTGTAGCCATTCAAAACTTTAACAATTGCATTCAGTATGTGTGTGTCTGTAGGTGTAGTGAGACAATAAGATACAAACATGAAGTAATGAATGTCTTCAGACATTTCTTTAACAGATATAGTAGGACAACATGAAATTAGGTTATCACATTAGGAAAAAAGATGGTTGTCAAATATTCTAATGGAGCTGATGTAGTAATTTGATCATAATATCTTATTTAAGATAACCAGAGCATGTCAAGATACCATGCACTTCTGGGCATCTATTTCTCTCATCTCCTCCTTTTCTTCAGTCCCAAACCAACTCCATGGGTTTCACTTGTGTTATTGACTCCACGTTTCCTTTCTTCTTGGCTTTCAGACCGATGCTGCTCTGATGTATGACGCGGTGCACGTGGTGTCTGTGGGCGTCCAGCAGTTTCCGCAGATGACAGTCAGCTCCTTGCAGTGTAATCGACACAAACCCTGGCGCTTCGGGACCCGCTTCATGAGCCTCATTAAAGAGGTATGTCAGGGGCAGCCCATCACCCCTGTCTCCTTTATCTTCAGGCTGAAGGCATCGAGCTTTTGGCAGTTTTCTTAACGGATGACATTTTACTTTTATCTTTTAAATTAAACTTTCTTTCTTCACAATAGAAGCAAAATTAACACTTTTTACTTAATGATATGAAACAAAAGGGAAAAATTGCTTAACAAATTAATGGACATCCTTCAAAAAGTCTATACTTGTGCAAACAGATAAAAATCTGTACCTATGATTTATGGCATATTGTGAGTTTCACCTTTCTGAATCTTTATATGTGTTATTTTTTATTTATGTGGAGGTATAAATGTTTAAATTATGCTTATGTTTTAGGCAAAATAACAATGTAATGAATATTTCACATGCATGCCATTTACACTACACTTAGTTATACCCACATTGTAAATCTTAAAGAACTATTATTTAGTTCTGTGGTTCTCAGTTAATATGACTAGTTATTTTAATTAAGAATTAACATAAAACATAATATATATTTATAAAAGTGCAAAATTTATATTGCATAATACAACCATTCTTATGGCCATATATTATTCCTTACTACATCTGTTGTAGTAATAGACTATGTACACACTGAGAAAGAAAAGGAAAATTCTTAAAAATCATACAAACACACAGACACACATCTTTTTTCTATTCTCCCTATTGTGAAGGAAATTTCTTTGTCAGCTTAAGATACTTTTCATTTGATTAAAACAGGAATATTTAGATGAAAGTTTAACAATGAAAGTTTATTTAATCTTTGCTATGAAAAATCATAGGTATTATTATCATATTAGGTTTTTCATTAATGGCTTACAGAAAATCATCAGATCATCATATAATTAATTATTCTTTATGAAAGTAAAAGTGCAAACAGGATCATAATTAAAAAGTCTCCGGATCTTTGGAAAAGAATATCCTTAAACTCTCCTTGTGTAATTCTTATAGGAGTTTCAGATAGGTGACATGATACTCCCTGTAGAACCTGCTTTTCATTTATTGTTCCACCTTCACATTTACTTCAGGTTTAAAACCGTATCAGAGAGCTGCAGACTTGGTGCACCGGTGTGGCTAGTTGAAGAATAGTCTTTTCTGAATGCAGCACCTGAGTATTGAGGCATGTGTCAAACATCCCTATAAAAAGCAGTTGTATGAAACTCACTATTGTGTTTATTGTAGAGTGTTAGCGAGGACCTTGTCCACTAAATCACACAATGTCCCCTTTCTGAGGACCAAAGCAAACATTTCTCTCAGGTCTCAGTACCAGGGAAAGCTGTTCTTCTCCTAGCCTAAGAGAGTTGGTATGTTTTAAATCATGGGCCCTGTATATTTATTCATCGCATTTTCTTTATTCTGGTTTCTAGGAAGTTCAAGATTGAATTTGTGATTGATTTTTATTAGATGTTCAGTTTCACCTGATGTAAATTTTCTCGTGCTGTCTGTATCCCACATTGGTTTTGCTATTCTACACTTTCACTCTTGTACTTCTTGATCACCTTGTCTATTTTTATACTAATTTGCATTTTTGTTAATTATCTGAAATTACTTTATTTGGAAGAAATTGGATTAAAAATACATTTTTCTTCCTTATGAGAGACCAAATTAATACATGTTTAAGCCTATTGATGGCATGTTACAATGTGCATATATGTATGCATTATGCTTTTTCCTATTTATTTACGATTTATTATCTTAAACTATTTTAGAATATCTATCCATAAGAACCAAAGAAACACATGAATCCTAAGGGATGCAGTAATGATAGCATCCATTTGTAGTCCTTATTGAAAATTTCTCCATGATCTACTGGGTTTTATTTCTTTTGGTTCTTAATCTATATTCTTTTAAACATTACACTAAGTGGACAGATTATTATGATCCCTAAATGCATAATAATCTGGCTACTCAGTGTATATTCTATATAATAAAAAGCTAATATGCAAATTGTCCCCTCAACCAGGAGTAGAACCAGCAGGCAGGCTGGCCAACTGCCCATGTCCCCTCCCCCTGGCCAGGTTGGCCAGACCCCACAAATGCACGAATTCATGCACATACATACATACATACATACACACATACACACACAAACAGAGTGGCCAAATTGTTATGTGTTTAGAGATCATAGTAATCTGGCCAGTCAGTTATAGTTGTGAGTATAGTTACAGTACTCAAATTTTTCATATATAACCTTTTTTCAAGTTATTTTCAAAGGACAAATAATGGAAAACACCTATTTTGGACAAAATAGCCAGAAGAATGGGTAAACTTCTTATATATGTATATATTAAAAGCCCAGATATTTGTTTACCATTGAAGGATGAATACATTAAATAGATTATTACATATACTTCTTTCTATATGGAAATCTCCTACTAGAGGAACTAATTTTCATACATTTTCCCTTTATAACTTAAGAAAATTAAAGTAATGTTAGTTATTCTAAAGGGGAAGTGCATAATCAAAGTCCTATAACATAGGTTTTCCTAGAGTCAGTTTCTCTCATTATGGTAAATTTATTTTCACATTAGTATGAATTTAGAAGTGCTATTTTATAACAGTAATTCCATTATAATCTCCACTGATATATTCACTGTTAACTATCTACACTAGGGGTGTCGAACTCAATCAGAGAAAGGACCAAAATCTAAAATCCAGCCTAAATTGCGGGCCAAACGGTTTACTGAACAGTCATAAACTGTCATTGTGATGGAAACGCAGCGGAGTGCAGTGATGACAGCGTGGTGTGGGCCACATTGCAAGGCCTAGCGGGACGGATTTGGCCCGCGGGCCTTGTGTTTGACACATGTGATCTACACTAATAAAAGAGAAAATGCAAATTGACTGTATCTTCATGATGCCTACCAGCCAATCAGGGGTGGGTATGCAAATTAACCCAACAAAGATGGTGGGCTAATTTGCATATGCAGGTGCCCAGTGGCTGGGGACCAGAAGCTTGCATTGTCACCATGGCAACACCAGAGGCATTTCTCACCACCCCACCAGCTCCAGGCCTCTGGGAAGTGTAGGAAGGCAGAAAGGCGACTCCAGGCAAGAACAAAGGCTGTGCTGTCAGCCAGGGTAAGGCAGTCCCGTTCTGTACTAATCTTTGTGCTTCAGGCATCTACAATAGTATAATAATAAGTGGCTAAATTTTTCTTACTATGCTAAATGAGATTTTCTCTTTTAAAATTCCATAGCAATGTAAGTTTATGAGAAGTAATGAAAAGGTTTTCCTTTTTTTTTTTCTTTCTGGAAAAGTGTTTTCTCTTATTTATTTACTATTTTTTTTGTTTCTTTTTCTGTAGGCACATTGGGAAGGTCTCACAGGAAGAATAACTTTCAATAAAACCAATGGCTTAAGAACAGATTTTGATTTGGATGTGATCAGCCTCAAGGAAGAAGGGCTGGAAAAGGTACTTTAGGCATTCAGTTTATTTACTTTAAATTATTAAATGAAACACACAAACATACAGTACAAGTGGGAAATAGAACTACAATGCTAGATTTGAGGCATACAGTAACACCATGTGAAGATATTGGCAATGCAATGGTATATGCAATGTGAGTTTAAAGAGATAATAGCCTGGAGGCCCATGGATTGCTTGGGGAGATATTGTAGTTTAGAATAATTTTAGTATAGAACCATGAATTTAAAATTCTGAGAGGGGAAGTGAGAGATTAGTAGAGGCAGAAGGCATTATTTTAACCCCCAGAAATTGTGTTGATTTTATTAAGTATTGTGGAAGCTAGATGACAAAGGTAAGAGGAGACAATAATAAAGGTACAAATCAAATACTGGAGAAAAAATAATTGGGAGAAATTAACATTAGAAAGAAAATGTCACAAATATCCTAGGAAGACAGATAAAGTATTGAGAACAATTTAAAGCATGTTAGAGAAAAAGGGTGTCAAAAGATGTCATATAAAATGTTTTTAATAGCTTCAAAACTTAGTATGATACATGAAATTATAACCTAAAAGACAGAGGTGGGATTCAGTTTAGTCAGATTTTAAGAATAATGTAAATATTTTTGAGATGCTATTGTGGCAGATTTGACTTCGAGTCAGTAGAAATAGTTAAGTAACAAAAGTGACTTTTTTTTTTTAATTTAGTAGAATGATTAAGGGATCTAGGACTAGATTCAAAGGAATTGGGCTCAAATTCTCACTCTGCCATTTATGGACAGATTTTTTTTTAATACCTCTAAAAGAAAATGTCTTTAACTGCATCATGGATAATAGCAATATTTGCCTCAAGAGGACTAATAAGTCTTTTGATTTTACTTTTATTTTTTCCCTTTGAAAATTATAGTTATCAATTAATAGATGAAAAGACAGAGTTTCTACCTAGACAGAGCTCTCAGTTTTGAAGGGTCACTGCATGGTGATTCAGGAGGCTTAAATTACAATTCTAGTTCTATTCACATATGTGTACTTTATCCTTCTGCCCAACTTCTCCAGAGCCAAATTCCTCATTTTGAAAAGTAGAGTGCAAAGGGCATCCGTCTTAGGCTGAAGTGAGAATTTCATGATCTCTAAAGAAAACCTGGAAATACCTTCTTTATAAGGGGCCAGGCTAGAATTTTAACTATTCTCCATACGATCTATGATGGGGCAAGGAAAATCAATAAAGAAAATGTGTGAAATGCTGGCTTTATCCATTATGTCTTCTCATATTACTGCCCTTTCCTATTCTGTCTTGGTCCTCTTTGACGAGCACATTTCATTAACTTAATTAATCGTCAGAGCATCTATTTTGTGCCATTATGAAGATTATACTCTAGTGAAGGAGACCTGCCAGCAATAAATAAACTCATAAAACTATAATTTTGGATTGGGCAGTATTAAGTGATCAAAAAGATATATTGTTTGCACATCATTTGGAACATTTTATGAAATATGAACCTTAGGTTGAAACAGTTCATAGGAATAATGCTCATGCTTTTGATGTTTATAATTGTGGAACAGATAAAGCAGGAAGAAACAGATTGTGTTTCAGACAGAGAGGCTGGGCATGTTGAGAGAGATGAACTTGGCGTTAAAATTTTTTATGGACACATCCTTTTTACTTAGATAGTGCCCATAGACCAATGTGGATCTCTTCTACTCTACCTCAACAGGGACCTTGGGTGGGACCCAGCTCAGTTAGCCATGGCCCAAGAAGAGTCCCCAATACCATGTACACAACCAGCCACGTCTGTCCAAAGAATCTCACAGGGTCATGAAAGTGCCTCTGTGGAGCAGATGAGGGAGATTAAAGGGGAAAAAGCAGTAGGTAACTGTCTACCTCAGGCAGTGTACCATAATAGAACAAATTCTTTCTTTAAGAGTCTCATATTGAGTACTAATAATAAGAAAAGGAAAATCAACAGACCATCCAACCTCAGAGAGAAGGCAGGGGGATGGTGGGGGAGGAGGGGTAAGAGATCAATCAAAGGACTTGTAGGCATGCATATAAGCATAACCCATTGACACAGACAGTAGGGGGTGAGGGCATGCAGCGGAGAGTGGGAATGGCTGGGGAGAGGTCAATGAGGGTAAAAGGAGACATATGTCATACTTTAAACAATAAAGAATTTTTAAAAGAAAGAAAAGGAAAATAAGATAAGTGGCTTTCCCAGCTTGAATTCTTCTGTTCAGGTCAAAGACCACAGTATATGTGCTACTTTCAAAATATATTTAGAAATTATCCATTTCTCTCCACATCCATTGCTGAAATTATAGCAAGGGGACCTTTCACCTGGACATCTGCATTAGAGTCTCAACAAGCCTCTCTGTCCTACTCTCCTTGTGATCCATTCCGCAAGCCACAGCAGCCAGCTAATGTCTTTAAAAGCAAATTGATGCCATTCCTCTATTTAAACCCTTCCATTTACAGTGCATTTCCTATCTCTCCCTCTCACCTCTCACAATCCTCTCAGATGTTTTCTATGCTCCAGCTACATTGGCTTTTATTTTTTTATTTTCTCACAGACTTAAAGTTTTCTATTACTTGGTAATAGAGTTTCCCAGTCTGGAATACACATCTCTATCCTCTTTGCCTGACTAGTTCTTATTCATTCTTAGGGTGGCAGCTTAAATATTATTTCCTTAGATAGGCATTCCCAAAGTCCCTATTAAATTTGAGTTTCTCAGAGTACCCTATACCATTCCTTTCTGATACCTACCACAATATAGAATTATGTATTAACATGTTCACTTTTTAAAAGGCTGTGTTCCTAGCAAGTATACATGTCCCGTTAAATGGGGAAAAAATGTATTCTTACCCACTATTTATGTATTCAAAGCCTAGCAAAGTGTCTGGCACAAACTGTATCCTCAAGAATTATTTGTTGACTGTTGAATGAATGCAGAACACTATGTGAATCATAAGAGATACTTCACCTAGAATGCTACTCAAATCTCTGGTGCAAAGGTATTCTCTTAGCCTAATTTTTTTTCTAGCATTTTTCCATGCCTACAGAATGAGTACAGAGAAATCCCACAGTTAGGCAGTCCTTAGGTTGGGGTGGTGGGTCAGGGCATCCAAGGGTAAAGGATCTGATAATGCAGGAGAAGACAGCACTGAAGTCTGAGCTTATAAAGTGGCACATCGCACCAGTGGCAAATGTGCTTTCCTACGTGGTGTAATGTAATGTAATACTTTCTGACACTCCAATATTACATTGAAAAAGAGTAAAAATAATCATCATTCTATCTGTACACTTTCCTTCTTATAAACATGTGGTGTGGAAATAAAGAAAGGTCAATCAATTGAGAACAAACAGTAGTTATTTTGCAGGGCTTGCAAGGGAGCCAGCCACCATTACTTTCATATGGCAGAGATTCAAGGTCAGGCAGGAGAGTGGAAAAGCTTTAGAGCAGAAAAAGGGGAATTCCTCAGGGGTCTGAGGAAACCGGAAGTAGGCTAACTAGATGTAGGCATCTTGGGTGACTGGTTGGAGGGAACATTTAACTTTCTTTGATAGATTCTGAGTACTAAAGGGAGGAAGGGAGCTAGCAGTTACTGAACAAATTTTAATTATTCTGGGCAGATAGCTGCAGAGGTTGTAGCTTGTAATTTGTCTACATAAGATAATTTCTCCAGAGATTCTGGGCCAAAGTTCTAGTGTCATGCATGGTCTGACCATTCTCTGTATAGTGAGTCTTTCAGTGGAATTATTTGGTGTCACTTGGAAGGAGAGGGGGGAAAAGTAAGGAAAATGGAAATACAAAAAATTACATTGTATTCATAATAAAATGAGTTTTATTTTTGTTTTTCTCTTTTTGGTTTTGTATTGTTTTCAGAATTTATAACTAGGATGTGATCTATCATTAGGAATGGTTTAACCTTACTTACCTCTGATGCTTTGATATGTGGTTAGGAAAGACTAGCTTCAGATGGAAGTAAACACTTGAATACTAGCATACAATGTTAAAAAATATTCAGAAGATTCTTATAACTTCAAAAACAATTGAAAGGATTTTACACAAAACATGTTTCAATTGAGATAATGACACTACATAATAATGCTGCATTTCCATTGCAAGATGAAATATCTAGAGGCCATTTGGGGGAAAATAACCACTTGTACTTAAAACAATTCTTCTAAGAACTATAATACAATAATAAAATCACTGAATTCTGACACATGTTGAATTTTCTTATTGAATGTCCTTTGTCACCACTATGTATATCAACAGATGTTTTCCAAGTGGGGAGTGGTGGTGTTGGGGAAAACCACTATTGCTCCTTCACTTTTTCAGTTATTTAAATGGATTTTTATTGTACTGGGGAGTATTTGCTTCTAAGTGGACATGTTAAAATAAAAGTAATTCTGTGTACCTCTCCTGTCCCTTCTTTAGCATCAAGGTTTTTCTATCTCTTCTGGTTATTTTCATGATAATGTCTTTCATATCACATTTATAATAAAAGAAAACTGGGAGAATAGATTTATTTGTCTCTTTGACCGAGAAAGAGCCTAATACATTCTTACTAAAAGTGTTTTATTTTAATATTGTATTAAAAAAACACATAATGATGAAAATAATATATTTCTTTTGCTAAAGGCCTGGTGTTTAGGACCATGAACAATAAACCATGTGTTTGCCTCATCACACTTTTATAATAAAATCAGCCCCTATCTTGTGCGTCCTTAGAGAAAATCTTGTAAAAGAAAAGAGGCTACAAAAAGCCATCTTATGGAATGTTTATCAATTTTTCCAACATTAAGAATCCCAATAAGTAATATAAATAAAAATAATTTATATTTGCAAACCTTTAAAAGTTTAAATATATCATATTTATTTTCAAGCGAAGCTTCCTTCCAACTTTTAAAATCTTTGGTTTCTGACCCCAGCTGGCTTGGCTCAGTGGGTAGAGCATTAGCATTGACTGAAAGGCCCAGGTTCCATTCAGTCAAGGGCACATGCC